TTGAACGTTTTTGTACATTCAATCATTTATAACTCAATAACCAATCGTCAAAACGTTATAGTATCATATGTTATGTCAATATTCTTCTTTTGAAAAAGTCTATCTGGATATGTGATGAAAGTGAAATATTTCATTGAAAAGCTGTCAAATATTTTAAACAGATGTCTCATATCTTATTACATTTTGAGTCCGCCATTTTGAAGAAAAGTGATTCTATAATCAAGAGTTATAAATTACTCTCAAGAAGCTTCCAAATAACATGACCCAACATTTCATTAGAAAAAAATGTATCCATTTATTAATTTCATTACCCCAAATTTTAATTTACTAATTTGGCGCGTTAAAAAAATCAGTCGGCGTGGGATCTTTTTGAAAAACACTGTGTGTATACTGAAGCTATATTGAAGATTCAAGATTTTTTGGCGATAAGCTTACCTCCCATGAAACGTATGCATTCAGTACCACTTGCAATATATCGTAAGCCATCATAATCTTCTTAATTTCTAGAGGTTTCCTTTTTTCCATCAACTGGGGCCCAAGCTTCTTGACAAAGTAGAGGTAGATAGCGGTGAGGGCTAATAGCTGTATCGGTTTCCCAAGTACCCAAGCATCTTTTAATCTCTGATCTGGAATATACATATTGTGATGACATTACTGAATATTATTAAAATAAGAAAAATATCATTTTACGCCTTTTGTTTCAGCGACTGTCAGAGTTTCTTTTTATGGTCGACTAAGAATTAACTAGATCTGGATAAAGTAAATTATTGCAGCATTTTTTTTATTTAGGATAATCATTTTATAGCAGTTCTTAAAAACATCGAATTTCATTTTGATACCAAACCACGTCTCTCAGTCTAATAATTTTAAGATCGAAAACTCTCCATCTTGTTGGAGGTCATTTTTTATAATTTCTGTCGATCATAAATATGAAGGCTGAAGATGACTTGGAGCTATCAGGTAACCAAATAAGTTCGTGCGGTTGCTGTATATCGCACATTGCCACGGATGTTGTTGACCGATAGCGATTGTTTGTTACCTGTTGTCACTTTAGTATGAATCCTTCTTTTCTCACATACATAAAAAGGTGCTGAAAATTGTTACATACGTAGTTTTAATAATTGAAAATGGCGACGAATAAAACAGTAATTCAAAGTTGTTTTCTGTATGAGTACAAACTTGGTACAAAAGCTGCAACGGCGGCGCGAAAAATATGTACCGCATTCGGAGATGATGCCGTTAGTGGTCGAATAGCACAGAAGTGGTTCAAAAAATGTTGTTCCGAAATCTCAGTTTGAGCGATGAACCGCGCTCAGGGAGACCAAAAATCATGAACAACGAGGATCTTCGACAGGTTGTGGACGCAAGTTCCAGGTCAACGTGCCAAGAACTTGCAGAAACGTTCAGAGTGAGTCCTGAAACCATTCGTTTGCATCTTCATCAGCTAGAAAAGACGTGGAAGTTAAGCAAATGGGTCCCACATGAACTTACAAATGATAACAAATTAAGTCGTCTTACCATTTGTTCAGCAAGCATTTCACGCAACGCTAATGAACCATTTCTTAATCGGTTATTAACCTGCGACAAAAAATGGATCTTGTATTCGAATTCTAAGCGTTCGTATCATTGGTTGTCGCCTACGGATTCGGTACCACACATGCCCAAGACTTCCTTGCACCCAACAAGGTGTTGTTGTATGTTTGGTGGACAGCAACTGGAATTATCCATTATGAGTTTTTGGAAATAGGTCAAACCATCACTACTAACTTGTATTGTCAGCAGCTTCACTGAGTAGAAGCAGCACTTATCCAGAAACAGCCTCCTTTGATCAATCAGAAGAAAGTGATATTCTTGCAGGATAACGCCAAGCCTCATACCGCAAAAGTGACCCGAAAAAAAATTTCTTAACTCGGCTTGGAATCGCCGCATATTCTTCCGATATTTCGCCCAGTGATTATCACCTTTTCTTGTCTCTTGACAACTGTATGAGGCACTGACAGCTCACAACTCGAGATGGTTTAATAAATAAAGTACGCCAATTTTTTTACTCCAAATCCAAGGTCTACAATACCGGCATACAACAAATGGTTCCACGTTGGCAAAGGGTCATTGAATGTGATGGTAATTACTTCGACGAATAAATAGTGTCTTATTGTTTCTCAATAAAATATTATATAATATTTTTCTACTAAAAACCGCACGAACTTATTTGGTTATCTGATATTTCCGGTGCTCTGGTGTAGGAATTTTCTGCGGCTCGCTGCATGATTCTGTGAAATAGTTCACACGCTGAGTTGCGAACTTATAGGGTGGTGGGGTTGGTTCTTATTAGAAATCAGCCCCTTTGGTGTTTTTTTTTGTCGGAGGCTTTTTCTCACCCTCTTGGAAATTTAGCCATGCAGATAACTACACTCAACCATCGATCTGTAATTCTATAGAAGGGAACCGCCGAGGCGAATTTGAGTGGGACTCACGCTTGGGAGGAGCCGTTCTCCATTTTTGTGAACCCTCATTGTTCGAGGTAATTATGATTTTTTTATTTACTTTGCTAGGCCTGTCTTAATCTTGTACAAACTGAAAACACAACTTCGTTCAAAAATTAAGCACGAGTCTATCCGTAGTTTTATTTGTGTAACATTAGTGTTATACTTTAACCATTTAATTATAAATTGTTTAGGTCAATATGGAATTCGTCAGAAACTATTAATTCATCAACCTATTTGGTAGTAAAACGAGAGAAATTTTTTGAATTTCTCATTCGTAATATTTATATATTTTGTATTATAACGGGTGATTTTTAAGGGGTATAGGATTTGATTTAAAAAAAAAACACAAAAAATTTGAAAAAACGATTAAATCTTTATTTGAGTCGATAGAACGGTCGATATAATTTAATGTTTAAAGATTATTTCATGTAAATGTTGGCCGCGGCTCCGCTTTAGATGGCCCATGCGCAAGGTCCAATTTTGACACACTCTCTCCAACATATCGGCCGGTATCTCACGAATAAATGCTTCAATATTGGCTTCCAGTGCGTCAATCGTTGCTGGTTTATCCCTGTAGACATTAGCTTTAACATGGCCCCACAAGAAATAGTCCAACGGCGTTAAATCACACGATCTAGGCGGCCAATTGACGGGCCCCAAACGTGAGAAAACTGTTCACCGACCTCGCCTCTCAATAGGGCCATTGTTTCATGTGCGGTGTGGCATGTGGCACCGTCTTGTTGAAACCACATGTCAGCCAAGTCCAGCTCTTCCATTTTGGGCAAAAAAAAGTTTGTTTTCATTCACAGTTATGTTTCGGCCATTGTCGTCTTTGAAGAAGTACGGCCCGATGATGCCACCGGCCCATAATCCACACCAAACAGTGATTTTTTCGGGATACATTGGTAGCTCTTGCAATGCTTCTGGCTGGTATTCACTCCAGATGCGGCAATTTTGCTTGTTAACGTACCCATTCAACCAGAAGTGAGCTTCGTCGCTGAACACAATTTTTCGATAAAAATGTGGATCTTCCTCCAACTTTGCCAGCGCCCATTCACCAAATTGGAAACGTTGTGGGAGGTCGTGTGGCTTGAATTCTTGCACCAGCTGTATCTTATAAGGTTTTACACCCAAATTCTGTCGCAAAATTTTCCACGTAGTGGAGTAACCGAGGCCCAATTGCTGCGAACGGCGGCGAATCGACATTTCACGGTCATTACTAACACTGGCGGATACAGCCGCAATATTTTCTTCAGTCCTCACTCTACGTCTGCGTGTTGGTGGTTTAAGGTCCAATAATGTAAGCTGGGTTCGAAATTGCCCATAAATAACCGAGCATGAATTTTGATAGTAAAATTCAATAATTTGCAAGCGTTGTTCGTTCGTAAGTCGATTCATCGTTAAATTATAGACCAAACTGAACAAGTTTGACAATGACACAAGACACGATTCACGCGTCATCTGTCAAAAACAGTGTTGCCAAAAAGGTACTAGCAAAAAAAACACCAATTAGTAGATACACTGAGAATAATATAGGGTTATTTTTATATGGCGGTAGCTTCTGATATTGCTTGTATATTTACTGAAATTTGAATGAGCCATGCACATTCCTGTGGTTCTCAAGCAACATTTTAATTTGCTTTATTTATAAACTGAGGGAGGACATGAAATATTTTACCTCCGGGTCCTTAGGTTTTTTACAGGTATCTGATTAGGAGGAAGTATTGTAATCGCAAAAAAAATCGAAAATGAGATATGTTTTTTGGACACAAAACACCATCTCACTGATTTCCGGTTTGTGCGTCTGTCAATCTGTCCTCAAATCCTTGACCCGTCTATAACTGAAGTGCTGCCTGAATTTGCAATGAAATTTTTATACTCGTATAAGGTTGCTAATATTCCAAGGTTGGAAAAGCTTTTAAGATTTCGAAAATCATTCTCCTGGCGGCGGTTGCAGGGGAAAATGCCAAAGACAAAAAAATTAATATCGCACGAACTTCGTTTTTGAACGTTTCAGGGAACTCATCATCATCATGTTTTAGAAATTTTCCAGCGGTATTGCAGTTTTTTTATGTTAGTATGTTAATACAGTTCCTCTAAATGCCTATCAGACATATTTCACACATCACGGATTTCCCCGTACATTTGTCCTGAAAGCATAGAGAAAGGTACCAAGTGTAATAACAATTGATTGTGTATTCGTAGGTGGCAGACGGTCTCTGACTGTCGAACGCGAGGTACCACCCGGCGGATCTCCAAGACGAAGCTCTACAACCACATCTGCTTCCCTTTCAGCATTCAACATTGAAAGAACCACTTTTTATGCAGGACAATGCACGACCTCCTGCCGCACGTGTCAGTTTAGACTTTTTAGAAGCGTCCAGAGTTAGTCTGCTTCAGTGGCCTCTTCGATCTCCATACCTTTCCTCCATCGAACATGTATGGGATACGAGGGATGTCTTTTAAGTTTTGCATATGGAAATAAAACAACACGGCAGGTAGTTTTAAATGACTTTATTGTTTTTCGAAGTATTCTCCACGAAGATTAATACACCTCTGCATGCGCTCGAACCAATTTTCGAAGCACTTATTACACTCGTTTGCTGGCAGATCTAAAACGGCATTACTTAGATCGGGACTATAATGGAGGATGGTCCAATAATTCCACGTTTTCTTCCGTTAAATACTGCCTTGTTTTTTGGGCTGTGTGCGAGCTTGCATTGTCTTGGTGGAGGATGATTCTTCTATCAGGGTTGTTTTTTCGAAGCTCGGTGATGACTTTTGGCAAACAAATGGTGGTATACCAATCCGCAGTAGCCGTTCTTTGCTCATTAAGAGGAATTGTTGCAATATGACCCGCTTATGACACAAATGTCGCGACCATCTTTTTCGACACACTTCCAGAACGGATGACTTTTGTTGGCTTTTCTTCACCTTGGAACACCCAAACAGCCGACTGTCGTTTTTTTCTGGTTCATAACAGTAAATCCACGATTCATCACCACTAACAATGCTGTACACATTTTTTGAGTTTCCGGAAAGCGTTTTTTGATACCAATTAACCCTGGCTACTTTCTGCTCTTCAGTCAGCAGGTGGGGCATCCAAAGAGAAACTAATTTTCTTACTCCTAATTCTTCATGTAATTTTTTTTGAATTGAGGTCTTTGAGATCTTCAAGGACGCCTCGATCTCGCGATATGTCACATGTCTATCTTCAATGGTGAGTTTGCGCACAGCATCGACGTTTTCCAGGGTGACTGTCGTTTTTGGTGCACCCACCCTGGGATCGTCGCTAAGACTCACCCGTCCACGTTTGAATTCTCCATACCCTCGGGAAATTGTCGACTGATGCGGCGCTTCGTTGCCGAAAACAGACAGTAACTCAGCAAGGCATTCTTGTTGCGATAATTGTCTCTGAAAGTTGTAATAAATTATGGCGAGAAAATGTTCTCGGTTGAGTTCTATTTTTCTAATGACTTGGTGACACTTAAAAATTCACTGTAGTGAGAACACTGCACGTATTGTTGTGAGACTTTGAATTTAAGTTTACTAAAGAGTGAGGTTAAGATTCAGTACTGACGTTCGATCCGCGCGGCCTACTATGTTTCTATATGCAAAACTTAAAAGACATCCCTCGTATGATGGGAAGAAGGTTGCATAATTCACAGCATCCTTCATAAGCTTTGGTGGCTCTACGAAACCAAATTCAGATTGCCTGGGATATAATACACCAAGAAGACTTTCTATTTATCAGTAGACCTAAAATTTGTAAAAGTATGCTCAAAATTACAGCACTCCTCGGTGCTGCAGGTAGCAGGTGGTAGGATATGCACATACGAGGTGGACTCGATATTATCTATACATACAAGCATTATGCTTGAACTGTAATTTTAAAAGGTTTCTTGATTCCGTAAGACTATATTAGATAGGATAGCACGTATCTAGGGCTATCATAATCAGGTATCAAATATTGTTGACAGACAGTTTTATACCAGAGCTCCAAAGAAATGAGGCAACTGTGTACGGGTACGCTCATTGCTGCAATCTGAGGAAATTTACTTTCACGAACAGCCCAAACACTGCACTAAGGGTTCTCACAAAACATACGTATTCTTGATGCCATTGCACTATATTCAAAATTGTACTGGAGGGCGTGGGAAGTATAGAGTCAATCTACTTGATGATATATTATTATTACACATTTTATGAGAAATCCAATAGTTTCTGAGATTCACCAAAGCTTCCAATACTTATCCTAATCATCATCTATCATTTGTGCAGGTATCTGAGTGTCGCTACTTTTAGTGGGAAGACGATCCATTTTCCGAAGAGCAAAGATATTGTATTATTAACAATTACTAAGCATAGTTTTCGCTAAGTGTGGTAGCTTACGAGTATGTGAATTCTGAATGTGGGATATTATTCATCATATACAGAAGGTTCCATACTTATTTTTTTTAGCGGGTCAACTTAGGAAGCTGGAATTTGAGATAATGTAATTGAGGCTTGAATACTATATGCTTTATCGTAAACTTTACAGTTTACATTGTGAAGCCCCTTATGTATACTTTATAGCCCTAGAATATAAAATCACTATCTTTTAAAATGGCAGACTGGTAGGCTGTCAAAGTTGAGCGTTTCTGTACAAGAATCGCTTACAACTCAACAACTAATCATTAAAACGTTTTAGTATGTAATAATATGTTTCCTTCGCATAGTAGCTATCTAAACTGAATCCAAATTCAAGATGAGATGTAGATAATAACAGTTAGCGCGTGATCTCTCGGTAACAGGTGGGGATAACGCCTCTTATTGGTCAATTCGCCATTAAATTTCAAGCGGTCGCCTGGCGGAATAATTCGCGGGGTAGGGGCAGGGCAGGCAGAGTTGCACTCAGGCCACCGTCCGTCGCGTGTATCACTGCGTGCTCGTGTTTTCGTATTCACCTTGCTTGGTTGTTGCTGTTGTTGTTGTTAAGTGTATTTGAGTAATTTGTTAAGTTTCTGTTTCTGTTAAATACTGTCATCTTTGTTTTACAACACGTTGGTGGTAGTCCTTCATTCGGAGGTAGCCCTGAATGCGGCATTGTACGCCATCCTTGCTTTTGGCAATCACGCATCCATTCTATCTTGGGTGTAAATACACTATAAGTGTGCAATGAAATATAAAACATTCAGTTTGGGAAAATTTTGCACATTTCAACATGTCTCAATAGAACGTTACATATGCTATTACATATCCGCAGGGATCTTACGTATCTTGAAAAGTGACTTTATGTTAGTTTTTATTGACATTATATAGGTTTGTTGTGACTTTATGTAGGTTTTTCTAGAAAATGTCCACTTAGCACTACCTATTGTACGCTTGTTGTATGTTCGTTCCGTAGTTGTACGTGTTGCCTAAACACATCAACTTGGCAACCTGGCAGCATGCTGCATAACGAAAACATGTCTAGTGAAAAATGCATAAAATGCAACACAAAAGTCGCAAAAAATAGTTATAAGTGTGTGAAATGCGAAAATGTGGTTCATCAAAAGTGTGCAGATGAAGAAATACCCAGAGATAGTGATTTTGTATGTGAAAATTGCCTGGAAAACAACTCGTTAAACAGTTCAGTGACGTCGGAGAATGGCACTATTATTCTGAGCGAGGAACGTAAGACACAGAATGAAGTTGTAATAAGCGATCTTATGAAAGAAAATGATCGATTGTTACGTGAAAATGAACTTATTAATAAACTCGTAAGTGAAATGACCGACAAAAACAATTTATTGCTGTTCAAAATTTCCATCTTGGAGAAAAACAATAATACTTTGGAAAAACCATGGCAACACCGAAATTCAAGTAAAAATTCAGACGCTCCAACTCAAATGCCACCTAGCACGCATACAGCAAACCACACCACTCAAAATCATACAGCGCCACCTCACGACGTAGCCAAAAGTCGTCGTACTCGCCGCACATCCACCAGATCAACCTCCGTGTCGCCGCCAGTGCTGCCATCTCCTGGTACCAGTGACAACCTCCAAGAAATTAATAAGGTTAGGGAAAATAACAAGGTACTGAGCATCGTAGGTGAAGTTGAGCCTACACTAAGCACCGCCGGAGCCGAAAACGGTCTTCAAGGCCTTTCAGTTCTAAAGGTAGCAACCCCTACAACTCGCCTGCACCTATCGAACCTAGACGTCAACACAACTGAAGAAATGGTTACGAAATACTTAAATCATCTGTCGACGTCGAACTATTTAGTTGAAAAGTTAAACACAGGAGGAAGTTTTAGCTCGTTTCGTTTAACAGTACCAAACACCGTATTAGATACCATAATGAAGCCCCAAAATTGGAACTGTGGCGTCCGTCTCAAGACGTGGATCTATAGAAGGCCTTCCGGATACGTAAATCGTGACTGGAGGCACAGCCAAAATAAGCGGTATCCTAGCCACAACTCCCAAAAACAAAATAATATAAATAATAGAGACAATAATAATCTTAAACATTCTTTTTAAATGTTCTTGACAACCAAATATGTAAAATTGCTCAAAGAGTTAGCGTTTTTCACTTAAACATTCAATGTTTATCAAATAAAATTGACGAGTTATCCTGTTAAGGTTTAGGTGACACAAATTCTGATGCTGAACTTTTATGCCTCTCTGAACACTGGTTGTGTGAGGATCAACTAAAAACGGTTAATATACCAAATTTTAATTTATGCTCTTGGTTTTGTAGGTCAGATCATGCTCATGGGGGTGTGGCCATTTTTGTTTTGGATGATCTTAGAAGTTCTTTTATCCCTGTCGATCTGAAGCCTTATACCACCGAGCTGTCATTGGAATGCTGTGCTGTAGAATTAGTAACAAACAAAGCAATATTCATAACATTATATCGAACAGGTAAATCTTGTTTTTATGATTTTCTTCAGGGTTTTGAGGCATTACTCACTTACATATATCAGCCCTAAGTATAACATTATAGTCATAGCTGGAGATTTTAATACCGACTTTTGTAACAATTCATTACAATTGCAAGACCTCAAGTATTTAATAAAGACTTTTGGATTAAAAACAACAATTATAGATTATACGAGAGTGACCAACACAAGTACAACTTGCATAGATAATATTTTGACAAATTTAGACGAGTCTGAATATACAGTTTCTGTAACAGATCCCTGTCTCTCAGACCACTATACCCAAAGTATGCTTGTACATTTAAATTCTATTAAAAAAGAAAATATTGTTCATACTAGGAAAATCACAAACGCTAGCCTAAATCATTTGAATCTCTCGTTATCCAACATAGATTGGACAAAATATTATGACAATCATGATGTGATTAGTCTCTCTTCTTTTCTCGTAGAATCAATAAATGAACTTAAAGATTTATATTTTCCATTACAAAAGCAAAAGCAACATTTTCAGAGACAGCCAGTAAAATGGTTTAATAGTGAACTTAAGACTGCTAGGTCCTCTCTTCAGGTTCTAAAAACAATATCGGAGCATCAAAAAGACGAACAGTCAAAAAATGCCTTTAAAACCTTCCAGAGACAATACAGACAAAAAATTAGACATGCTAAGTATAGTGCATATAATAATTTTATTCATTCATCGGAAAATAAAAGTAGGGACTGTTGGAGGCTAGTAAATTTTGAAAGAAATAAATCCAAACCAATGACATTCCGCTTTTTCTTATTCAACTTGGAAATTACCTATGCAAAGAACGATAAAGAAAAGAAAATCTCTGGTTGGTGAAGTATATTAAAACTAACAGGTGAGAAAATATGGTACATAAAGGAATATTTATGAAACGTAAAAAAGTTATTACATTTCACATTAAATTTTATACAAATTTGTTTTACGGTATCAAGACGAAAATACAGATTAGCGCCTAGATGTGACGCAGTGCGGAAGTGTTTTGTATGTGATGCGTTATTTCTCATTTTTCTGACATGTGGCTTAATGACACACGACGTGGGCGCGGCACTGATTTTCCGTAATTCTTTTAAAAAATTTTGAAAACGCAAGAAAACGAGGAAAATTGCATTGCATAACTTTGAACATAACCTCTCTCCAGAAAGAACATCATTAGTAACCCGTCTGGCACAGCCAACAGATATATTTCACGAACAGCATATTCAGTAATAATTTTCTCACAAAGCAAATATCACTGATTTTATACATATATTATGCAGGATGGACCCTTCAAAAGCAAAGAACGTACTATTATTATTTTAACCGCGCTTAATCGTCATCTTGAAATTTTCAGCTACCACCACTCTTACGCTAAAACATACTATCCGAAAACGAAGTTTGTAAGCGGTTTGATGTATGTGGTGATGTACAGGGTTTGTCCGGAAAGTAATAGGACTGAGTCGATTTAAAAAAAATTATTCAGCCAATCGTTACAATTCTTTAAAAACTTTCAAAATAGGCTCCTTCTGCGTCGATGCAGCGCTGCCAGCGCGATTTCCAAGCATTGAAGGCGTCACGGAAGGCATTCTCCGGAATATCCTTGACAGCCGCGGTGCATGCTGATTGGATCCCCTCTGTCGTCTCAAAATGCTTGCCTTTCATCGGCCTTTTCACGCGAGGAAACAAAAAAAAGGCCGGGGGCTGTAGGGCGGCTGCGGTAGCGTTGGGATGCCGGCCTTGGTCAGGTAGCTGTTCACAAGAAAGGCGGTGTGAGCCGGGACGTTGTCGTGGTGCAACTTCCAGTCAGCTGCGATGTCTTATCGGACTCGACTGACCCTTCGTGTGAGTCTCCTGAGCACTTCCACGTAAAACTTGGCGTTGACGGTTTGTCCAGGAGGAACAAATTCATGGTGTCAAAAAAGACAATGAGTATCGTTTTCACTTTGGATTTGCTCATTCTTCCCTTTTTTGGGCGAAGAGACGCCGTCGTGTGCCACTCGGAAGATTGCCTCTTTGTCTCGGGATCATACTCACAGATCCACGACTCGTCACCTGTGATTACGGTATTCAAGAATTGGGGGTCACTTTTCTTGGCACACTTCCATTCGCCGCAATTTCTGGTCGTCAGTGAGCACTTTTGTGACCACCTTCGCGCACACCTTGCGCATGTTCAAATGCTGTGTCACAATATCATGAACCACAGATTTTGGTAAATTTAACATCTGGGCAATTAAACGAATACTTAGTCGATGGTCTGAGTTCAAAACCGAATCCAGTCGGTGCGCGCGCTCCGAAGTGCAGTCATGGCGGAATAAAATGAGTCCTATTACTTCCCGGACAAGCCCTGTATAATTACCATATTATATACTGTTCCTCAAATTTGACTAAAGCCGTACTGTTTGTTAAATTCTATCGTTACCAGAACGCCGACAGGTAGATCCAGAGTGACGAAGCGACAGAAATGAGTGACATTGCTGTGTGGCAACAAAAACAGGTTAAATGAAGTTCGACTGTTTTCGTAATTGCGATACTTCCATAATTCATGGAGTCAAGTAAATAGACTTTGTACTTCCTATGTATCCATATGCATTGACTGCACGTACCCGGTAGTGGCGAGACACCTGGAAACTATTCGACCGAGAAAATTTGTTCCCTAATCTTTAACCTCCTTGTAACTCGGAGGGTACACCATTGATGATATTTTGGCAGAAGGTGACTACTCTGCTACAAACGAAAAAGCTTTGTACGTTTTCAATATTGAATTTGTGGTTTCACATTATACCTGCTCAATTTTTAAGAGTATGGTTTGAACTTGCAGAGACTTAATGTTTGCAAATGTAGCACTTCTGGAATCAGTGAAAAACATTCTGTTATTAAAAAGGCACTAACTAGTAACAGACATTTCATCCGTACATCTGCCATTGAAACAAAAATATGATACATTTATTTTATATAGTTTTAGATGTCACGATACATCGTATCCAAGAGAACGTACATCCAAGTGACCAAGTTTGAAATTTGCGAATTTGTACGAGGGTATATGTGACCTTGATGGTTGCTCCTAGACTAACCAATGATTGATATGTCTTTGTGTATTTAGCACTCGTGCTTTCTGTTATGTTCAGTTCTAAAGTCAAAGTGGACATCTTTTCACCGACCCCCCCCCCCTATCAGTGTCGTCTGCATATTTATATGACAAGCTAGAATCGCATTGGAATACTTTTGCAATGCCAATGCCAGTTCTGACGTCATAGGCCATGTTTTCATCGTTGCAGGATACGGGGTGTTTCACTACTTATCCGACAAATTTTAACCAGATATGCACTGTTACGAAAGAAGTCGATTTCTCAAAAAAAATGTAATAAAAGTCCTCCAGAAATCGAGATAATAAAATAATACAGCTTAACAGTTCACTTACTTATAAAAGCTGTTCAAAATTGTTTCCAGTGACTGCAATGCAAGCTTGGGCGCGTCAAATCCAATTTCGGCGCACTAATTCAAATACACCTCCTTCCTGCTATGACTGAAGGCTC